ATGGCATACCTGTTTCATATCACCCTTTTGTCTGTAAATTGTGATCCCTATCCACAGTGGGATCTGTATCATCGCAATGGCAGCTATAATGAAGTTATCATAAAGTTTAGTATTAATTAAAACATTTAAATTAGAATATGATAATCATACTCATAAAACACATAATAATAATAAAACTAATTAAAAAAGCACCCGTACCTAAAGCCCAGCCAATGCCTGTACCCCAGGCGGGAATGCCTGGTTTCTGACTGCCAGTCCTACCAATCTCGATGTTGCCATATATGAAGATAACCTGAATTTATAGATAAATTTTCATAAATAATTCAAATATGTCTCGCAAAAGGCTTTTGTTTTCTGTTTGTGTAATAAAAATGTCATATAATAGGGAAATGAATGAACAAATGAAATGGTAATTAGCATACAATGAGAGCTACGGGTGCGGCAAAGCCCCAGGTCACTTTCCAGAATAAGCCCACACTCTTGTTAAGCATGAATTTGAGGTCAAAGCAAAACCTCTGTAGACCATAGATCCAGAAGATGCCGATTATCTGACAGATGCCGTAAAAGAATACAGCGGTTCCCACGCCATAGTTGTCCAACAGTTCCATCACATAAGTGCCAGCCTTTTCGCACCGGGAGATAGACATAATACATTTATTAATATCATTGCAAATAGGAAACCCGTGAATAGGTCATCAATTTTATGATTATAAGATTTAATTTTAAAATTTGCATTAAATTTTGAAATATGCAAAACACAATCAGTTGTCATATTCTCTCTCTCTCTCTCTCTCTCTCACTCACTCACTCTCAGACACTAAGTTGTATTCCAGAAATTGGTGCTTATTTTCTAAACAAATATCTCAAACATTATAATAATATGGCTTTTAATTAATTAATAAAAGCTAATATCCAATGAATGCGTACATCAGTGGTGAGGGGCAGCCCCAGGAGGCAGAAGCAGACGCAGGCAATTGCGGCCAATATCTCCTTCTTCTGGTGCAGTGACACGAACTCGTCTTTAATGGCCGTCAGAATGGTCTCGACCTGAGCCACAGAACTGCCGATTCCCAGAGTGAACATCATTATGAAGAACAACACTGACCACAGTTGGGGCACCCACTCAATAGTGCCCAACCCTTGGGGGTATACCACAAACGCCAGTCCCAGACCTGCATCGGACACGCAATTTGAAATTACGGTAGATATTAATTTGTGTTATTATAGGAGTGATGGGGCAGACATATGGGTTGATACAGACCTCCTTCGACCACTTTGTCGATGTCTTTGCCGGTAATGTGCGCCAAATGACCCAAATTGGAAAATATGACACAACCTGCCAATAGACTCGTGAATGTGTCCAAAATAGCTATAATTATGGCATCGCTTTCGGCGTAAAATTGAAAATTAGTTTAAAACTAATTATTTATGATTTTACATGAAAATTATGGGAACTGGATGTGTGTGCGGGTGTGAGACATACCGGTAGACATTGTTGTGGAACTCGTTATAACTGGAAAACATGATAAGAGATCCGAAACAGACCGCCAACGAGAAGAACGACTGCTCGACAGCCCTGTACCACACGATGGGCTCCAGTAGTTTGTCCCATTTGGGGGTGAAGAAGAATTTTATGCCTTCCACCGCACCGTCCGTAGTGAGCGCCACGGCTAACAGTGCGATCAACACCACGTACGGGAATACTGCCGTAAAGTAGGCCACCTGTCCATCGGGAACCACAGAGTTAATAGGGGTTGTGATTGGTGTGAAATGACAGATACCTTTCCCATGGAACTGACGCCCTTGATAATGCTGAGGTAGACCATAACCCAGGAGCCCATGAGACACAGGACTAGCTTCCAGCTGATCCAATTCATGTCATCCAAACCGGACGACTTGTGCAACACGTGCTTCCTATTGATGGACACATTAATTAGCATTAATTGCAATGATTTATAATTATATGAAAGCAAACACTAACTCATAGTAAAGTTCAGCCCATGATTTCTGGGACTGAATGGCGTCGTCGTCGCCTAAGAACCTAATGTCTGGAGCGGAGCTTATGGGAGATGTAGTGGTGGTGGTGTTGGCACTGCAGGTGCCGGTGGGCGACCACTCCGGTTGGCACTCAGTCCAGGGTAGCGGGTCTTGAAAAGATTGGATGAAGTAGTAGATGGTTAACGCCATTAAGTAGTTGTAGAAAATGATGATATAACCCGTGGAAAACATTTGCGCGAAACCTATGCCTAAGAAATGCGCAAATATTTGTGTAAAGTTTGGCCGCAAATTAGTATTTGTTTGTGACGAGACCTTTGAGCGCCGGCACACATTTCCAGACTTTGATGGGTCCCCGGCCACTAAACTGGCCCAACACCAGCTCCAGGTAATACATGGGCCGTCCGATTATGAACAATAGCAACAGATATGGTATGAGAAATGCGCCTAAAATGGGTATTAAAATGTGTTTTTAGTTATAATTTAATTATAAATTTTAGCTACAATTATGTCTTATATAATACACACCCCCTCCGTTCGTATAAGCTGTTGTTGTAAATGAACCGGCACATAAATGATACAAAACGGGTTATTTAGTAGGTTTTAATTAAAATATTTCGATGATTGCATACCTGCGTGAGGGAACCGCCAGACCTGTTCATTTGATAATATACCACAAGAATTAGTCATATGATTGTAACGTTATTTGAAATAGTATTAAAGTTGTATTTGAAATTACAGTAATAAATTTAATAGGCAAATAAATTAAAAACATACATTTCCCAGACCGACGGACATGGATATACAGGACAGTAGGAATTCAATGCCTTTAGACCACTGACCCCGACCTTTAATCTCATTATTTCTGTCGATTTGGTTCATCTCATTATTCTTGTCGATTTGGATCTGATTCGTGTCGCCATTGATCTCAGTCTAGAATTAAGAATAAATATTATGATCAAAATCTTAATAAAATATTTGAGAAAACATTTTCTTTATTAGATTTTCGGTCATAAAACTATAGAAACTAATTAAATATATGGAAACAGATAAATATTTATTAATGACAGTAATAATAGACTTATTAATTATATTATTATTATTTATATAGTGTTTACTATAATTATGTTATACAAACAGTTATATTTATAATGTTCTGTGCCATAAACTTATGTTTACATACATTATAAGTTATTTGATTAATTTATGAATTATTTAGCAATAAATATGTTTAAAACAATATTTAGAGCAATATTTATAATCTATAAGTTAATAAATTATATAAAAAGGTTTAGTTTTAATAGCAGACAATTGTTTGGGAGAAATTCCGGTTAGAATTCCTGGAAACTAACTATTAGTTAAATATTCATAATAATAATAAATCAAAGTTTAAGTTATATTTTGTGAAATATATATCTTTATCAATGAATAAAGTCTAGAAAAAGTTATCGTAACTTAACTATAAAACAATTAATTCGTATAAAAGCGAGAAATTTAATTAATAAAATATTTTAAGTGTTAATAAAATAATAAGAAAAGTTTGATNTTAATAAAATATTTTAAGTGTTAATAAAATAATAAGAAAAGTTTGATTCCGAGAAAAAGTAAATATTAAAAGGAAAAAATAAAATCATAATTATTTAGCAATTAAAATATCATATGATTAAAAAATATATATAAACTATTTCATAAAAATATAAAATTTACCAAACACTAAAACAAACAAGATAATTTAAAATATCGTTACCAATTCCAGTGGTTCACCCTTTTTAACAGACATTTCGCCGCCAAATCAGATGCGATAATAAGTTAAATGTTAATTGTTTACGATTAAGTAATTCACGGCACAAATAAATAAATAAAAATATTATTATAATATTATAATAATGAGCGCACAAAACAACAAACAAAAAATAAAAAGTTTTTCATTTATGAGAAAAATGCATAAAATTATTATCAAACAAAATTAATATGATTTCTAAGCCTTTAAGTCGGTGTTGAGGTTAAAAAATAACACAATTTTAATCAATTTTTGTATTAATATTATATTAACTGTTTGTTTGTCACATAATTGATTGGATTTAGTGTTTAAAATAAAAGCCAATACTTATTATGATTGAAGGCTTTTCGCCGCAGTTTCTCAAGGAATACAAGGATTTAGTATCGAAACGATTACTCGTATAATATATTTAAAAGTAAAGTGAAAATAAAAGTTTGAAGAAAAATAAAAATATTACTTTTAATATGAGTTATAACTAAGTAGTATTGTATAATATCATACGCGAAAGTTATGTGATTTTGATAATTGAGTGGAAAAACTTTGCAAAAAATTCACACAATACTTATGAAGTGTCTTAAATAATTTTTTGTAGTGAAAAACAAACAAAACAAATAAAATAAGGTATTAAATAATATATGATGTGTATGTGGTATTACATCGTTGAGTATTATTAACACTCAAACTTGAAAAGTGAGAGAAAAATCTCGGTTTTATCCGATTTTATATGAAAACTTTACTATTAATTAAAATGATATCATAAGTAATAAATGAGAAAGAAAAGTGCAGCTAATTATTGATAAAAATCACGTGTAATCATAAAACAGGCATTGGGAGATTTAAAAATACATTAAATCACTATACATGTCGACACAATTCGTACAGCGAATGGGAGGGTAGATGGGAAGGGGAGAGAGAGAGAGAGAAAAGTATTATTTTTTATTATTACTATAATTAATATACTGGCAATAAATGTGATTGAAAATAAGGTACAAATGAACACAACTATAAGGTTATAAAACTATAACACACACACATTGAAAGTTATCTTTGAAAATAAAATACTATAGAAATAAAAGTATTTTCAGACTGTTTTCAGACCCAATGAGGACTTAAGTCCTAAACACAGAGAGGACTTAAAATCTAAGTATTGAAACACAGAATTCAGGAATTGTGTGAATAATTGTAAAGATAATGTTTATTCGCTCCGAAAAACAAACTTTTATTTATACCACAAAACTATTTCCAAAGACTATTAGCAAACATTGAGAGCGAAAGTCTCATTTGAATACATGTTTAATGATATGATGATGAGCTCTCTCTCTCTCTCTCTCTCTCTCGATATATTAATGATTATAACAATAATAGGCATATATTCAGTGGGAAATGGTTTTTCGGTTAAACATTAAGGATTCTATGAGTTTTATAACTACTTATTCATATACAGGTATATATACGGGTATTATATTGTATATAATATGTGTATTAATGGTATTAATGACGGCCTTCATTAGCGTCGATAAGAATTTGATGCCAAATGCCGGCCCTCCCATCCCATCCCCACCGATGGTCACCGCCAAAAGCAAAGGTGAACCACTAAATAGCGCTTAAGGCTCGCGATTTAGGTTAGGCCTAACCATCGCTGCCTACCTGTGCTGTGTAGACAATTGCTGAATGATATTGTTATAACATATAATACTTGTTGGTATCCCTGTGTCAACCAATTCACTGGCAAACGGCACTCCACTCTATAATTATAATTGAATATCCATTTCATTGACGGTTAGCTCTCGTTGCCATCAATTTATTGTCAATTTGTTTCACACAAAAATGCATTTCCATTTTGAATCTCATTTAGTGTTTTCCCATGAATTTGTGAACACAATAATGATCATTGAATTTAATATATAATATAATTTATTAATAATATGTTCAACCCCTATATTCTTAACACAGGTATTTATGTTATGATATTCTGTGGCAAAACAATGTACACTGCAATCAAATGGCGAACTGTATTGGAGTTTAATATCGATGTCATATATGATATATCTGTCACATTAATTGAATTTCATTGATCTGTGACATAGATTGTCGACATTTGAATGAAAGTACAAATTAAGTGTTAATTATTAAATACTTTATATGTCTATTGGGATGTCATACGAGAATTTCTGTGTAACACACATATCACAGAATAATATTTTCGTTGAATTCTTGATCCACTATTTATGGAAGTTTTTCCATCTATTAATAGACTGTGTATTAAAGTATTAAATAAACACATATTTCAGTAGCCATAGAAAGGTTGATAGAAAAATAACCCAAAACTAATTGGGAAACACTGGTGAGATTGGCAATCCCGGTGCCTAATCCGTCAATAAGCACAGGCTTAATAACCCATTTATACAAATGGCATGCAATTTATGCCTCACAAACAGGCCATAAGTCATGTTCAAGACTACCATTTGTCAGATAAATGAGTATTTCGAGAAATTATTTATACATTTCAATGCATTTAATAACTTATTGTATTTTGTACTCAAAAACTTCTTTGTGTTGTTGTTTATAATGACTTATATATATAAATATTTGTTTTGACTGAGAAATTAAATTACTTATTATTTCGCAAAAACAGTGTCATTATAAAATCGATTTTATAATTAATCACCTACCATATTTCAAATCATAAACACAATAATTGTGTGCAATTTAAATGCATTACAAATATAAATGTATATATTCTGTGACTTTCATTTCCCAAAGAATAGTGATTTTTGTGAAATATATCGCAATGTTTTTCTTATAATGTAAGTCTCGATTATAATGTGTCTTTCCCTCTCGCACTGTATCCCATGGGATGGAAAGCCTTGCCTATCCCTGTGCTATCATATAATGGGAACCTTGGCCTCAAAAATATGTAAAAATCTCCGTGTGTTTGGCTATACCTGTAGTTTACATGTATATTAGAATTGTTATCAAATATTTATAAGATTCAAGTCATCTATCAATTGATTGATTGCAATATAGGAAATGACTTTATTTGGGTATTGAACACAACCAGACATTGATATCCAGTTATTTTTAATTATATAAGCCTGATAACAGAATTCTCCATAAAAATATTTGTCGGAAATAGTTGTGTATTAAATGCAATGTGATGTTAGTATTGTTAAATATTATTTTTGTTTATTCCTGACAACTATTTTGATGTTTATAATTACAGTATTGTATATAAGTTTAGAAATATTATCCTTAAGTATTAGATTAAAATTTAAATGCAATGTGATGTTAGTATTGTTAAATATTATTTTTGTTTATTCCTGACAACTATTTTGATGTTTATAATTACAGTATTGTATATAAGTTTAGAAATATTATCCTTAAGTATTAGATTAAAAAATGGTATTTTTACATTTTTACCTTTCACTTTTAATTATATTGTTTTAATTCTAGGTTTAGTAGTTAAATTAAACATTGCACTATGCATTAAAACGAATTTAATATTTAATATTTAATAACATAAAACATAAAATTTAATATAAATACAGTGTGAATCAATACTGATATGATATGAATACGGATATGAATCACAATTTTAAAATATTTTATTCTATATATGAATGAATAGTAAAAAAATATTATCAAACGTCTCAATATTTAAACATTAAATTATTACCGGTATCAAAAATCTATTTTTGTAAAATAATATGAGCATATGAGAGCCCACATCCAAGAACCTGACTTAATTTTAAAGTAGACTTAATTATAAAGGTACTAATACTATGAGAGCAAACTTATAAACAAAACAGGTTTAGCACATTGAAATGTGATATATTATCACTAACCAATGCTAGGGTCATATGTTAAAACCTGTATTGAACTCTCATAGTATTAGTACCTTTATATTTAAGCCTATTTTAAAATTAAGTCAGGTTCTTGGACGTGGGCTCTCATATACAGTACAGTACCAAAATTACAAAGCTCCTTTATTTTAAATGTGAAATGTCTAAAATGATGTCATATTTACAATGAAATTTGAATTGAATTTTGGTGATAAGGGGATTGTTTATCATATTTCTACTATATTAGTATAATATTTCATGAAATATTATTTATAGACTTATAAATTATTTTAAATAATTTAAATGTAAGCAAAAGCGGATATTACAGTATGATACTGTAATAGTAAATTTCATTTATAAACATTTCACTCATTCTGCTGCAATTATTTAAATAGGGTAATTAATATTTTAGTAATTAGATCTTAAATGCCTTGAACATTTGCTTAATTATAGTAATAAATAATAATGATTAAAAGTCCACATAATTTGCAATAAATGTAAAAATTAGAAACTAGTTCATTAAGATATGGACAGATTTGGTATATGAAGACTTAGCCCATAAAATGTCAAATAACAGTTTAAATAAAATATACATTTTAATACAATTGAATAATAAGTGCATTTTAATAATGGGTTAATATTCTGATATCTACTGATATATTCACAGATAGTTTATTACAATTTTATTACTTTATTTGTCTGTTCAGTAGAAAAAATATTCACAAATAGTAAATGACATGAAAAAAGACATTTCACAATTCAAATTCATTTCAATAAAATGTTTACACTATTCAGGAATTTGCGATAAAAATCTCATATATTTTTAGAGCAACTTTAATAATATTAAAAGTGTTTCCAAAACACAAACCCTTTTATTAACGAGACATTCATTAATAAACGCATAAATAAATTACTCTCAAAAGCGATGACAAAATTTATTATTAAATAAAAACTCATATTTACAGCAAAAATCACGAAAATTCATCAGAAACACGACAAACAGCTCATGTTTTCGATAATCAATACATTATTTCTCATAAAATATATCTCGCAATCGATGCACACATTAAAAAAACTTCAATTCATTAAAAAATAACTACAAAAACATTTGCATTCAAACAAAACTCCAATCATTTCCTCCTTTGGGTGAACGAGAATGCGTCGGACGACGAGCCGAACCCCGAGAAGCCGCCGCCAAACGGTGTGGCCGTCGGTTGCTGTGGAGAACCCTGTTGTTGGGCACTGGAGGCCAGGGCTCCGAAACTCAGGTCACCCGCAGTGCTGGCAAACCTTAACCATAAAAAACAAATTACATTAAAACACACTCAACACAAACACACCTCCCGTTCCCATCGCAATACATACCCAGTGTTGGCGCCGAACGCCGACTGCCCGCCAAACCCGGTGGAGCCCATGGCTCCGAACGCCGGCGCCCCGCCAAAGGCCGGTGCGCTGCCAAACGCCGGT